CACTAAGGACATTGACCAGTGGATGTACATCATCAAAACTACAAAAAGTAACTCCGCGCCAGGTGCTGATGGCATCCATGCCTGTGAGCTCCAGATGCTCCCAAAAGCAGCCATCCAGAACTTGGTTAAAATAATCCACGAATCCCCTAGCGTAATACCCAATAATCTCATGTGCCGCCGCACAATCCCACTAGCGAAAAAATGGGGCCTTTGCCGTGCCTCAGAATCCCGTCCAATCACTATACTCCCCCAAATCTACAGAATCTGGGCCAGGTTGGTGGAACACCAAGTTATCACTCAAATTTCTCAATGGGTACCCCCCCAGGTGACAGGATTTCTCAAAGGTAGAGGAGCATTTGAAGCCGCATATGACACACAACAGTGGCTTGAGCAGAAGGCAAAAGACCACAGTAGCCGCGCCGGAGCTACATTAGATCTTATCAAGTGTTTTAACCTCATAAGGAGGAGCTTTGCCAGCCAAGCCCTGCAGGCCATAGGATGCCCCTTGCCCATAATCCGTAAATGGGAAGAATCCACCACGAACCTCAGGCGGTACTGGGAAATTCAAGGGCAAATAAGTGAACTAGTCCATTCAACAACAGGGTGTGCTGAAGGGGACACAGTATCTGTTTTAGTAATGATTGCCATAGCCACACTGTGGGTGTACCGTGCACCCTATACAGCTCCAGGAGTTCGACTTAGTGCTTTTGCAGACAATTGGAGTTGGGCATCCACTGACCACACCAAACATGCTCAGATCGCCGAAGCTACCAAAGCCATCTGCAAATTAGCCAAGCTGCAGGTGGATCCAACTAAAACATGGGTCTGGGCCTCAGATCCCACAGCGGAAACAGCTATCAAAGCAGCAGCAGCCACACTAAGCCCCTCAGGGGAGGCACCCAAGAAGGTGCAAGCAGCCAAAGACCTGGGCATTTTCTTGCAGTACACAGGAGCCGGGAAACTGGGATCACTGTTGACACGTATGGGGGAGGGGAAGCAACGTCTCCACCGCATTATGCACCAACAATGGCCACTCGAAGTTAAAGTGCCTATTATTAAGTCCTCAGTATACCCAGCCATGTTCCACGGGTCGGAGATCACGCCCATTGGGCAAGAACATTTGTCCAAAATCAGACACCTGGTAGCACAGGCGGTGTTGAACACATCATCCAGATGTTTATCATCCGCGTTGTTGTTGATGTTTACTCAGCACATATTGCCTGACCCAGGCATGCATGTCATACTCCAATCCATCAAGAAAGCGAGGCAGTGGCTCATCAAAGCCCCTGAGCAAGAAAGACTGGCCTTTTTGACCACAGCATCAAAACATAGAGGCCTCCCAGGAACAGCCAAAGGACCAGCAAGCACCCTGAAGTCCAACATCGTGCAACTCGGATGGTCCATCACAAGAAAAGGGGACATTCAGGTCTCCACCCACCGATTCCTCAACATGATGTATGCACCCATGCAAGAAATTCAGTATTGGGCATACCAAGCGTGGAATGCAACTGCCGTCAAATTGCTCACCCAGCGATTCAGCCTGTACTCGTACCCAGAACCAGACGTCCCTGCCACTATCCAGGTGCTAAAAAAATTCCCTTCCCATGAACAAAGAAACTACTTCATGAGCTGGGAAACGCATTCCAGACGGAAGCACAAAAAGCCAAGTATGATAAAACATGTGAGGGTACTTGTCAGTTCTGCCAAGAGCCAGACTCCAAAGAACACAGGTATTTGCGTTGCCCAGTAACCCGTGAAGTTAGAGAAGAGCATGCAGCAGCAGTGACCATTCTCCAGGACGAATGCCCCGGCTGGATTGACTGGCCGGTGATGTACAAGCACCCCATGTTTGACTTCATCCATGCAGTCCGGTATGGTTTGCCAGAGGCTACCATTCCAGCTGACACATGTAGACAACTCCTCCACCTGAACCCAGACACTGGACCCAACCTCTTTTCAGATGGTAGCTGTTTGTATCCCTCAGCGGTAGAGACCCGCTACGCAGCATATGCCCTGATCGCTGATTTGGCCCCAGACGATCAGTGTAGACAGCACCAGGCCATGGGGTTTCTTGCTACCCATCAAATGCCTGACACACTTGCCACCATCACCTACGGCCGCCTACCAGACATGCAAACAATTCACCGTGCGGAACTCTTGGTCATAGTGCTGGCCACAGAGGCACTGCCTGCCTTTAACTTGTACACTGACAGCTCCGCCGCTAAGAGTGCCTTCGACACAGCCACCCAGGCAGCGTCATGTCAATCCTTTATTGATAACCCCCATTTTGATCTCATGCGTAGAATCTTTGCAGCCAAAAAACCGGGACAATTTGTCCACAAAATTAAAGCTCATCGAGACCTTCACACGATCCCCAATTTGTTGGAAGTATATAAAGGATTAGGTAACCATAAAGCAGACCAACAAGCCTCAATGACCTTGCAGCAACACATGCCGGAGGTGGGCGAAGAACTTGCCACCTATCACAAGGATGTGACCAAGGATCAACAGTGCTTACACCAAGTTTTCACGTATATAATCGCACTCCAAAACGCAAGAGCTCAGGCGCAACCGGCCACACGCATGTACACGATGCCAGCCGCAGAAGCTGGCGACCCAGTCACCTTTCTAGCGACATGGTCGGCGGACGAGTACTGGACGCCGCCACGCAGACTGCAGAATCCGTGGTGTTTCACGTTCATGATCCTGCCCCCTGAATACCAGGTGTGGCAAACAAACTTCGAGGCAGGGTCTTCCTTTTGTCAAAGACTGGGGGAGGGCCCGGAAACAAAGTGAAAAGGCAATATTTTAATTGCGTTATATAAGAAAATGTAATTGGTTTTGAAATCAGAAAAAATAGTTTTTATCCTTAAGGTTTTAAATTTATTAATCGAAGGAAGTTTAGAAGTCAAACTTCCGACAATATGGACAGATGAAAAGCAGAGCAGGGCAGAGGCAGAGAGAAGAGAAAGATTAGAAGAGAGAAGATCAGAAGAGAAAGAGTCAGAAGAAAGAAGATGCAGATGCGCAAAAAGGTAGGAAAGTCGCGAAA